TCGTCTTGTCACCTGGCGCCTAACGGCCCCGTGGCCCCGTCGCCTCGTCGCCTTGCGCCTAGCTGTCCTGCTGGCCCCGCGGCCGCGTCGCCCCAAGCATAGCCGCCCTGCCGCCCCGTCGCCTAGCTGCCCCGTGGCCCCGTCGCCCAGCCGCACCGCGGCCTCGTCGCCCCGCTGCTCCGTGGCTCCGTCGCCCAGCCGCCCCGCGGCCTCCTCGCCCCGCTGCTTCGCGGCCCCATCGCCCAGCCGCCCCGTGACCTCATCGCCCCGCTGCTCCGCGGCCGCGGTGCCCAGCCGCCCTGCGGCCCCGTCTCCCAGCTGCTCAGCCGTCGTGTTTCCCGGTCCCCGCTCGCTAAACCGGCCCTCTCCACCGTCCTGCACCGCGCCCCACCGTGCTGCACTGCTCAGCATCGCACTGCACCGCGCCCCACCGTACTACACCGCGCCCCACCTCAGTGCACCGCACTGCACGGTACCCCACCGCACTGCACCGCTCTGCATCGCGTGGCACCGCACTGTACGGCGCCCCACCGTACTGCACCACCATGCACCGCGCGGCGCTGCACTACACCGCACTCCACCGCACTGCACCGTACAACATTGCTCCCCACTACTCCTCGTCGATCCATCCCGCCCCTCACCGCCTGTTCGCGGCTGCAGCGGCCTTCATGACGGACTCGGTGCTGCGCTTTGACGCGGAGGGGTCAGCCGGTTGAGTTCGACGCATGGCTCGTCTACCTCCGCCGTCACCTCAGTGGTCAGAGGCAGGACGGCCACTCCTTGGCCATCTATATTGACAGTACGCTCCCCTGCCTTGACCCCCCTGTTGCTCTCCCTACTGACCCCACGTCTGCTGACCGTGAGTCTGCCACCGCTGCTGCCCTTGCCTGTGCTGTCTGGTTGTCGCGTGACGCTGCCGCTCAACTTACGATTAATCATGCCCTCCCCCTGTCTGAGCGCCCCTGCTTTAAGTCGGTCAGGACTGCGCAGGAGTTCCTAGAGGCAGTTGTCAAGCATTATTCCTCCCCATCCTCTGCCTTTGCCGGCCGCCTAATCCTTCCCATGCTCTTCCCTGATCTCGCGTATTTCCCCACTGTCGCTGCGAGCTGGCGCGCTGCCTGCACTGAGGCCCAGATTCGTGTGTTCCAGCCCCTTATCTGCTTTACCCCTTATTCGCCTTGCCACTGTCCGCGACCACTTTCTGAGTCTGCACCCCGCTGACCTCACCCTCCCTGACTTTGTCGACACCCTGTCTGCCATAGAGACCCGTCAACGCTCTATCGCACCGTCTAGCGGTACTACGCCAGTCCCTATCTTTCAATGCACTTAGTCTAACAGTTTTGCGGCTGTAGCTGAGACAGCCCCTGCTGCTGAGACCGCTGCTGGGTCCCGTTATGGTAAGGCCCGCCACCCCAAGGCTGGGCGCGGCGCTGGTAGTGGAGGAGGGGGTGGAGGTGGTGGTGGAAGGGGTTCATCCTATGGCGGTAGTACCGACGAGGGGGCTAGGGCTGGTGCCTCGAAGCAGCAGCCCCAGCGGGAGCAGCAGCAAGCACCACAGCTTGACCAGCAGCAGCAGCAACCACAGCAGCAGCAGCAGCAGCAGAAGCAGTAGTCGCAGCGGAGGGTCGGCCGCCTCCCGCCTGGGTGGCCAGGCGCTGGTGGTGGTGGTGGTCTAGGTGGTCGTGCGCGTAGCTCGGCGTCGGGTGGTGGTGCGAGTGACAGGCGCTGCCAGTACCAGCTCCAGACCGGTCCTCGCCGCGGCCTCGTGTGCGGTAAGACCGGTCATACCCCCACTCACTGTTTCAATCGCATGGACGACCTGTTTCGTCTCCGCTTCGGCCCCGCGCCGGACCTCCCCGACTGGCACAGTTTGCTCCGCCGTGGTGTTAGGATCTTTGATATGGACATTGATGAGATTAGCTCTACATTGTATGTGCTGTATGTCGATGACTCTAGTGTGACTGGTTCCTATTACGATGTGTTGTCTAGCGTAGGTGTGTCCAGTGTGCCTTGTTTAGGCTCCCCTGCCATAGTTACCCTTGCATACCCTTCCTTAGGTCCGGTAGTCGCCCGTAGATCCACCACTCTTCCCTGTCCGGCAGTTCCTTCGAGCTCTCTTACAGGCCTGCACATCCCCTCGTTCTCTCAGAATCTAGTTGATGTCGGCTGTCTTCAGGACCTCGGCGTCACCACTACATTCCCTGGTCACGAGAGGTACGCCGTCTGTACCGAGGCCTCCACTGGTGCCCCCCTCACGACGTTCCCTTGGGACCCGGTGTCTGGCTTGTTCACGCTGGGATGCCCCCCCAGGTGGCAGCGTCTACCCAGGTTGCTGCGGCTTGCTCGTGTTGGTCGCTTACTCACTCGTCGCTTCTGTGGCACCACCGCCTAGGTCACCCCGCCCTCATATGTCTCCGTCACATGTCCCAGCACGGTCTTGTCTTATGTCTCCCTGCGTCGTTCCCTGTGCTCCCCTCCTCGGCAGCGCCTCCGTGCACGCCCTGCGCCGAGGGCCGGCTTCGCCATGCCCCTCACTCCTCCTCGTTCCCCCCCACCACCGCACCGTTACAGACCCTGCACATGGACGTCTGGGGCCCCGCCCCCGTCCATGGGCCGCGTCGTGAGCGTTACTTCCTCGTACTTGTCGACGATTACACTCGCTACATCACCATGTTTCCCCTGAAGCGGAAGGTCGACGTGCTCGACGTTCTTATCCCGTGGCTTGTCTCTGCATGTGTGTACCGAGGTCTCCCTGAGTTGCGTCTTCACTCCGACCGTGGTGGCGAGTTCACCTTTGGCTGCCTTGGTCGCTTCTGTCTTGCGGAGGGCATCTCCCAGACATATACCCTGCCGGACTCCCAGCGGTAGAATGGGGTCGCTGAGCGACGCATCGGTTTGGTCATGGAGGTGGCTCGTACCTCCATGATCCATGCCAGTGCACCCCATTTTCTCTGGCCGTTCGCTGTTTGCTGTCCCAGCCCCGGTCTCTCCTCCCCTGTCGACGACGTTGCTGTCACAGTCGCTGCCGCCTCAGCAGCTGCCGTTGCCGCCGCAGCCGCCGTCGTCACCGCCGCTGGGATTTGTGCGTTCTGATGGTGCTGGGGAGCGTGCCGGAGTGAGTACTGGAGCGGGTTCCCGTTCTGGGGGTGCTTGCCTGGGGCTTCTCGAAGGGAGCCGTGGTGCCGCTGGAGGTTCTGGTGTTGGCGTCGGGCAGCAGCCGCCGTAGTCGCCGCCGGTGTCCGCTCTTCGCCTCCTCGGCTTCCCTTCCCCTGACCGGCCGCCTGTGCCTCCTCGGTCGCGACTGCCTCCTCCTCTGCCGGTCTACGGCCCTGTGTTTCCTCCAGCTAACTCTTCTCCGGCTCGTTTCCCTCCTCGTTCTCCTCTTGTGTCTCCTCCCCTCTCTCCTGACCCGACTCCTCCGTCTCACGTCTGGGCTCGTCGTCCGTCTCGTGCTCATCCTACCTCCCCTGTTCCGTGTTCTCACCCTATGCTGCTTTGCTCCCACGCATCTTGTGCTCCTCCGCTCCTCCCGTCTCCTCCTCCGTCGTCGCTCGCCGTGGCCCCGCCTCCGTTTTCTGACCTCCTCCGGCGCCCCGTCTACGGCCTGTGCCAGGCGCCCCGTGAGTGGCACGACACGCTGCGTGCTACACTTGCTGACCTGCAGTTCTTCCCGTCGTCTGCAGATCCCTCGCTCTTCGTCCGTTCCGGCCAGACTTCGTTCTACATCCTTGTTTACATAGACAATCTGGTCTTTGCTACTGTAGATAGAGACGCGCTGGCCTCCGTGAAGGCCGAGCTACTGAGGAGACACACCTGCACTGACCTAGGAGAGCTGCGCCGCTATCTTGGCTTGCAAATCTCCAGGGACAGAGCAGCGCGCATCATCACTCTCACACAGTCACACTTGGTGCGCCAGGTCCTTCAGAGGTTCGGTCTTCAGTTCCCTTCCGCACATCCCACCCCTCTGCTAGTAGACCACAGATTCTCTGCTCCAGTCCCAAAGGAGGCAATAGAGCCTAGTGGTCCTTACGCAGAGCTGGTGGGTTGCCTCATGTACCTGATGACTTGCACTCGTCCAGATCTCGCATACCCTCTCAGCATCCTGGCCCGCTTTGTGGCCTCCGGCAGACACCGACCATAGCACTGGTCTGCAGCTAAGAGGGTTTTGCGTTATCTAGCAAGTACATCGGGCATGGGGCTAGCGCTAGGTGGACGCAGACCAGTGGTCCTTACCGGGCACACAGACGCTTCTTGGGCAGACGACGCCGAGACTCTCAGGTCCTCCCAGGGCTACTGCTTTAGCCTTGGTGCAGGTGCTGTCTCGTGGAGGTCCACCCGCTCGTCGTCTATTGCCCAGCCTAGCTGTGAGGCTGAGATCTATGCCGGTGCCATGGCGGCCCAGGAGCACCGTTGGCTGACTTTCTTGTTCACAGACCTAGGTGAGCGGCCTAGCTCTGCCCCAGTCCTGTACGCTGACAATAGGGCCATGATCCTCCTGTGTCAGGAGCCTAGACTCGAGGGCAGAGCGAAGCACATCCAGCTGCGGCACTTCCTCCTGCGCGAGCTACAGCAGCGTCGCCAGGCCCGCGTAGTATACTTGGCCTCTGGTGCCAGCATAGCTGATATCTTTACGAAGGCGCTTGCGCCTAAAGATCATCAGCGGCACTGCGTACAGCTTGGTCTCGTTCCTGTAGCACCTCATTTGCTAGGACCTTGATTGTGAATAACTCTTTATAATATCCTGACTGGCCTTGTGGCTTTCTCCCGGTGGCTGGACTAGTAGTGCCACCCTGGTCTTGTTCTTGCCTTGTTTGTATTCTTTTGACTGGTCTTTAGACCCCTGCCTCAGAGGTTGGACTAATAGTGCCGCCCTGAGCTGCTTGTCTCTCACCAAGCTCTGCCCCTATCTAGTCTAGGGGGTGTGTCAAACATATGTGTGTATGTTTAGTAGACTACATAAGGTCATGCCATAGAGAGTACAACCCACTAGCTATATCCTCTTGTATGCTCTCATTTTACTCCAACAAATTCTAACTTCGAAACACCACGCCCTAAGTTCAAATGCTTCCTCCCACAAGCTTCATACTTTGTACTAGGCTTCCTTCAAATTGTTATCCCTCAAATCAGTGTTCCACAGAGCCTGTATCGCATATTCTTGAGGAAACCTAGGTACAATTACGAATGTGTTTGGTCACCAACATACACTGTACCGTAGCCCTCCTTTCAAACTTCTTGCTATGCTTCCCAAAAGACAGTTGGGTCCTCCGCCAGCAGGGTGCGATCTTGAATCTCCAGATTCGCCACGTGGCGGTCTATGACTCGTGCCTGTGCCAGCTTGCAGGCCACGAACATGCCTGGGAATAGCAGCCAGGTGAACTCCTCAGATGCTGCTGACTCCCTGTGCATTGTGGGGAACGATGGAAAGACAGCGGAGGAAGAGAAAGAAAGGAGCAAGGCAGAGAACAAGAAATAGGGTTTGCAGGCACGAACATGGCTGGGAATAGTAGCAAGGTGAACTCCTCTAATGCTGCTGACTCCCTGGAGGGAGGAAGGGGAAGGAGCACCGAGGGGAAAAGCCGAGCAAGCACGATAAGATGGTCTGGAAAAAAGGAAGGTGACAACAAGGAAGGTGACAACAAGGTGACAACGAGGAAGGTGACAACAAGGAAGGTGACATGTCTAAGATGCTGCTGACTGCACTGAAAACAACGAAGGGAATAACGATGAATATGGGTGGGGGGCCGGGGAAAGGGGGGCGGGGAGATATAGCAAGATATTCGGACGAAGGAACCAAGCATAGTGCAGCATGAGAAGCAAGAACCCCTTGGATGTGAAGATTCACCTCGCTTGGAAGCCTTTGATCTCACTGCTTGATATGACGATTCACCTCGCTCTGCTGTTCTCACCTGGTTCTGTTGTTCTCACCTGGTTCTGTTATTCTCACCTGGTTCTGTTGTTCTCACCTGGCTCTGTTGTTCTCACCTGGTTCTGTTGTTCTCACCTAGGAGGGGCACCTGAAGGACTGCCCTTGTAAGATTGCCATACGTGAAAAACGCCCAGAGTCACAGCAACCACCTGAAGCAAGTGCGAGGAGAAAGAATAATAGAAGAGTTGAAAATAACACATCTAAGGAGTGGAAAAGAAGTGGAAGAAGGGATGACGATGGAGTGAAGGGCGGGAGAGGTAGGGTGAAAGGGGTGGAGGCAGTATAAATAGCCCGAGAGCATGGCCCTACACCATGAATCCAAACCCACTCACCCTGTTTGCAGTGGCAGGATCACGCGCCCTAGAGCCTGAACCCAAACCCTGAACCCGACCCACTCACCCCATTCGCCAGGGAAGTGACATTCTAGAGCCCGTACACCTGGCCCAACCCCACAGCACTCCTCAGAGCATCATCCCTAGACCCTGAACCCAAAACACGCACCTGTTCGCCCAGACCCTGGCCCACTCACCCCATTCGTCAGGGATGTGACGTTCCAGAGCCCATACACCCTCAACAACCCAGCACCACTCCCGAGGGCATTGAGCCCTGCTGCTGCAGAGAAGAGGGGCGCGAGGGGCGAAGCGAAGAGCCTAAGAGCTAAAGCTAAGAGCTTGAACCCAAAACCTTAAACCACTCACCCCATTTGCCAAAGAGGTGACTTTCCACAGCCCGTACACCCTCCCCAACCTGGCACCACTCCTGAGAGATTGAGACCTAGATCCCGAAGACAACTCAAACCACTCACCCGTTTGCCAAAACCCTAACCACTCACCCCATTTGCCAGGGAAGTGACGTTCCAGAGCCCGTACACTCTCCCCAACCCAGCACCACTCCTTGCCCCGTGAGCAAACAATGCATTCAACCCTGCTGCCGCTGAGAAGAGCGGCGCGAGGGGCAGGATGAAGAGCATGAGGGCGAAGGCGAGGAGGGAGGTGCTGTAGGCTTGGAGTAGGCAGAGGAGGAAGAGGCAGAGATCGGCAAGAAGAAGCATCGACATGGCCAGGCCCACTGCCGCCTGTTTGGTAAGCGGGGGGGGGGAATGGAGGAATGGACGGGGTGGAAACAGTCGGTGGAGGGAACACTGAAGTAGGAACGACTCTCGAAGTGCCTGCAACAGCATGAGGCATGAGAGCAGAGAGGCATGCGGGACGGGGGCAAGATGAAGAGCATGAGGGCCAAGGTGAGGAGGGAGGTGTGGGGGAATGAGGGCGGAGGACATCATCTTGCCAGCCCCACTGCCGCCTGTTGAAGGCGGGGGGGGAGGGAAGGGAGTGGGGGAAGTAACTTTGGGAAGGAAAGAGAGGAGAGGAGAGGAAAGATGTGCTACAGGAGGCAGAGGAGGCAGAGGAGGAAGAGATCGGCGAGGAAAAGCATTGACATGGGGGGGATGGGGTGGGGTGGGGCGGAGGGGACTAGATAAGCGGAGAAAAAAAGAGGAGAGAAGGCGAGGAGGGAGGTGCTGCGAACAACTCACATCATAAACAACAACTCACATCAGAAACCACAACTCACATCATAAACAACAACTCACATCATAAACAACAACTCACATCATAAACAACAACTCACATCATAAACAACAACTCACATCAGAAACAACAACTCACATCATAAACAACAACTCACATCAGAAACAACAACTCACATCATAAACAACAACTCACATCATAAACAACAACTCACATCATAAACAACAACTCACATCAGAAACAACAACTCACATCATAAACAACAACTCACATCATAAACAACAACTCACATCATAAACAACAACTCACATCAGAAACAACAACTCACATCATAAACAACAACTCACATCATAAACAACAACTCACATCATAAACAACAACTCACATCAGAAACAACAACTCACATCAGAAACAAGAACTCACATCAGAAACAACAACTCACATCATAAACAACAACTCACATCATAAACAACAACTCACATCATAAACCACAACTCACATCATAAACAACAACTCACATCATAAACAACAACTCACATCATAAACAACAACTCACATCATAAACAACAACTCACATCATAAACAACAACTCACATCATAAACAACAACTCACATCAGAAACAACAACTCACATCAGAAACAAGAACTCACATCAGAAACAACAACTCACATCATAAACAACAACTCACATCATAAACCACAACTCACATCATAAACAACAACTCACATCATAAACAACAACTCACATCATAAACAACAACTCACATCATAAACAACAACTCACATCATAAACAACAACTCACATCAGAAACAACAACTCACATCATAAACAACAACTCACATCAGAAACAACAACTCACATCCTAACAACAACTCACATCATAAACAACAACTCACATCATGGCCCACAGGCAGGGTGTTGCGCAGCAGCAGCCCACAGCAGGGCAAGAACAGCCCTCGCCCCTCATCCAGCCGTTTCAGCACTTGGTAGTCAATCAGCCCCCCCTGCTGTCTCTTCCCCACCCGGCCCCCTGCCGACTGCCACAGTAAGCCCGCAGAAACAGACGACACTTGCCGCTCCACTTCCCTCCTCTCTCCTCCTCGGCTCTTCTCCATGTCACTTAGCAAAGAGAGATTTTCAGGGATTGAACCTGGATTTCTCCTTAATAGAACACTAGCAGAACCATTCCCCGTGCCAGAAGGTCCGGGAATAGCCTCGGCAGAGGCTAGGTTTGTAAGGGAGGGTCGGCGCTCGAACCTATGAGGGGAGAGAGGGGGGAGGGATGACACTGAGGGACTTTGCTCCCCCCTTGACTGCTGCTGCTGCTGCTGCTGAGGAGGAAGCTTTACCGAAAGTGAATGAGGCGGCAAACGACCACTAGCACCACTCTGAATCTGCTGCCACTGCTGCCTTTCGTGTTGCCTTTGCTGCTGCTGGTATTGCTGCTGCTGGTGCAAAGGATCTTGGAAATTAAACCGTCTGGATTCCTCCGCACCTAGCGAAGACCAACGGTGTGGATTAGGGGGGGAATGAGGATGAGGAGTGCTCATACCAGATGCTGCTTCATGGTCACTAGGAGTGCCTGCCCTCCCGCGATACCCCGTGACTCTACTCCTCGTGATTGTAGAGGAGGGCGAACTACCAGCCTCAGCAATCCCACCAAAGCCGCCAGCTGGCAGGTAACGAGAGGCTGCTCCTGCTGACGTGGCGATGGCTGGTTGGGTGGATGCGTCTCGTAGGAGAAGCAGGGCATCGAGTTGAGAGGGCAGGGTCATGGGGGTGGGAGATGGGGAGGTGGTGGAGTAGTGGGGGGTGGCTGTTAACGAGTATGGGGTGTAAAGGGAGGATGCGGAGTAGGGGTTTAGGTAGGGGTTTACAAGGAGAGAGGATGGGGAGACGCTTTGTTGCCACTGCTGCCGCTGCTGCTGCTGGTGCAGTTGCCGCTGTTGTTGCTGCTGCTGCTGCCCCTGCCGTTGCTGCTGCTGCTGTTGTGGGCTATGCTGGTGCGAGAGAGAGGAGACATTTCGAGAGAAGGAAGGGACGTCCGACGAGGCACGGGAGTGAGAGGGAAGGGGAGAGACAGTACGATGGGCAGAGGGAAGAGGATGATGATGAAGGCGGGGAGGAGGAAGACGAGCAGCAGTACGGGGAGAGGATAGGACAGAGGCAGAACCCTCAGGTCTCAATCTCCCTCCCACCCTGCTCCATGAGTCCGAACCGCCGAACCCCCCGAAGCGACTGTTTCCGAAGCTACTGCCGAAGCTGCTGCCAAAGCTGACCAGGTTCGGTGTGGTTGCCGAGCCGAAGGAGGTGAGGCTCGGCGCAGAGAAGGAGGCAGCAGGATCGGCGGCTGCAGCAGGGAGGTAGTCATTGCAGTAATCATTGCTCTCGGGGTGGTCGAGGCAGAGAGCGAGCTGAAGTATGCTGGCTGACGTGGGCTGTGAGGGATGGGTGGCGGGAGGGAGAGGAAAGACATGGGAGGGAGGGGAAAGACACGGGAGGGAGGGGAAAGACACGGGAGGGAGGGGAAAGACACGGGAGGGAGGGGAAAGACACGGGAGGGAGGGGAAAGACACGGGAGGGAGGGGAAAGACACGGGGGGGAGGGGAAAGACACGGGAGGGAGGGGAAAGACACGGGAGGGAGGGGAAAGACACGGGAGGGAGGGGAAAGACACGGGAGGGAGGGGAAAGACACGGGGGGGAGGGGAAAGACACGGGAGGGAGGGGAAAGACACAGGAGGGAGGGGAAAGACACGGGAGGGAGGGGAAAGACACGGGAGGGAGGGGAAAGACACGGGAGGGAGGTTGGGATGGAGGAAAATGGTGATCGAGACCGAGGGCGAGCTGAATTATGCTGGCTGACGTGGGCTGTGGGAGAGAGAGGGGGCGGGAGAGAAGGGGGGTAGGAGAGAGAGGGGGCGGAAGAGAGAGGGGGCGGGAGAGAGAGGGGGCGGGAGAGAGGGGGGGCGGGAGAGAGAGGGGGCGGGAGAGAGAGGGGGCGGGAGAGAGAGGGGGCGGGAGAGAACGGGGGTAGGAGAGAGAGGGGGGGGAGAGAGAGGGGGGGGGAGAGAGGGGGGGGGAAGAGAGAGCAGGCGGGAGAGAGGGGGGGTAGGAGAGAGAGGGGGCGGGAGGGCGAGTGAGGATAGGAGGAGGGGAAACGAGAGAGGCACAGAGCGAGCCAAATCACAGAGGCTCTGGTGGATGGATGTAAGCAGAGAGTGATATGGAGGACAAGGGCCACAGAGCCTCATTGAGAATAGCAGATACTTTTGAGTCGAATCAAAAGGCTCTGGTGGATGGATGCGAGTACGGAGTGATATGGAGGACAAAGGTTGACAAAGGTTACAGAGTCTCATTGAGAAAAGCAGATACAAGCTGAGCTGAATGTAGATTTCAATACACTCTGTATCAAGGATGACCAAGATGAAAGAGAAGGATGTACAGGGAGAGCTAGGGAGAACAGGGGGAGGGTGGGAAGGGGGGAAGGGGGGAAGGGGGGAAAGAGAAAGACAGACACTCATTGAAGGAAGGAGAAGGATGAGGAGCACAGACGACTCACCTGCAGCCACGCTAGGTGTGCCGATACCGATACGTCTTGTGCTTCTAACGAGGGGTTGACATGCGTGCACAGCCACCGCAGAATGGGCTTCAGAGACCCCTGCAGGTTGCCCTGGGTCACGGTGCGCAGATGGGCATTGAGACCCGCTACCAGGCGATACCACACGGTTGGAGGGATGGCCTGAGATGGCAATAACAGGGGGACAGAGGAAGAATGGACGAGTTCAACAGCCATCGCAGCCACAGCCACACAAAAACACACCTGAAGAATACACCTGAAGACACATGAGAATACACATGGAAACATACCAAAAGGAACAACTGAGAACGTACTTGCGTTGCGAACACACCTGAGAAACAATGTTGGTCAGAAGATCGTCTGTGAACAGGTGGTACGGTGCCATGTACGACCCGTTGCCGCCCAGCACCAGCAGCAGCGGAAGGCGTTCAGCAAAGCTCGGCGGCATGTGCGGCGCCATCTCGTCGCCGCCCAGAAACACATCCATGTAGCCGAGAACGAGGTCCGGGGTGGCTGACACCTGGGGGAGGTCATATTCCGAGTCACCAGGAGAGTCAAGGAGGGGGCATGAGGTTAGGACGAAGACAGCCACATAAGACATCTGGGGTGGCTGACGCCTAGGGGAGGTGGGAAGTGAAGGATGTAAGTCAGGAATGGCTGACACGAGGGTGCGCTAGGGCACGCTCGTCTCACAAGGGCGCGCTTGTCTCACTAGGGCACGCTCATCTCACTAGGGCACGCTCGCCTCACTAGGGCGCGCTCATCTCACTAGGGCACGCTCGCCTCACTAGGGCGCGCTCGTTTCACTAGGGCGCCCTCGTCTCACTAGGGCGCCCTCCTCTCACTAGGGCGCCCTCCTCTCACTAGGGCTCGATCATCTCACTAGGACGCCCTTGTGCCACTAGGGCGTGCTCATCTCACTAGGGCGCGGGCCCCTCTCTTGGGCGCGCTCCTCTCACTAGGGTGCGCTGGAGTGCGCTCGTCTCACTAGAGTGCGCTTGTCTCAGTAGAGCACTCTCGTCTCAGTAGAGCGCTCTCGTCCACCACTGGAAGCACGTCGTAGCATCGACCTCACAATTTCCTCACCTCGTTGCCCCTCACAAACGGCCCGATACACACCTTCAGAACCCCATAGAGAGCGCTGGAGCGGCAGGAGTGCAGGCATGAGTGGTCGAATCTGGAATGCACAAACTCCCTTAACCGCTGCCTCACTAGTTCGTGTTATAAGCGGCACACAACGCACCTTAAGCCCCTCGTAAAGGGCGCGGGATCGGCAGGAGCGCAGGCAGGAGTGGTCGTATCTCGTATGCACAAATTCCCGTAACCGCTGCACCACGAGTCTTCTCCTCCACTGCTGCCACGACCACGCAAAGGGCAGCGCCAGCAGAGACAGCAGCGAGTGCACACACCCCTCCCACCACTGGAAGCACGCGGTGGCGTTGACCTCGTCCACCAGCCGATTGTACGAGTCCTCATACACCACATCACGCACCGCACGTGGCGGGGAGTGTGGTAGGTGTAGGGGGTGGGCGAACGAGTTGTCTCCACAAAAGAATAGCCGATGAACGTGCGAGGCTGCCTCCTCTACTCTTGTACTTTCCATCACCTGATGATGTGTGTGCCCAGGGGGGGGAGAGGGGGGGGAGGCACGGGGAAGGGAGGAGAGGGAGTGGCAAAGAGGGAGGGAGAGAGAGGGGTGGTTCAGCCCCCCTCCCACCAGTGGAATCACGTGGTGGCAGGGATTGACTTTCATCCACGAGGCGGTTGTACGAGTCCTTGTACACTAAGTCGCTCACGGCACACAGCAGGGAGTGTGGCAGGTGCAGCGGGTGGGAAACCCTTTCTTTAGAACATGCCTCATACAGAGATTCCAGAAACGGCAGGGAATGATCCATATGTGAAGAGACGTCCAGATCTCTAGCCTGAGGCTGGGCCAAGTCGTCCCCTGCCAGCAGCAGCTTGGTGCGAGCGAGGGTGAGGGCGAATCCCAGCAGGAGCACGGAGAGCGTGCAGGCCAGGGCGAACACCCATGGATGGATGCCCCCCCGTTCCCTACCCCACGACTCCCAACCCCCTCACCGCGTATCCCCCCTTTTGCATGAGAGCATACCTCATTCAGAGACTCCAGGAACGCGTGATAGGAGTCTAGTTTTGAGGCGCCTCAAAACTAGACTCCTATCACCGCGTATCCCCCTTATTTCTTGAGAGCATACCTCATTCAGAGACTCCAGGAATGGCAGGGAATGGTCCATATGCGTGGCAACGTCCGGGTCCCTGGCCTGCGGCTGGGCCAGATCGTCCCCTGCCAGTAAGATTTTCGTCCTTGCGAGGGTGATGGCAAAGCCCAGCAGCAGCACGGAGAGCGTGCACGCCAGGGCGAACACCCAGGGGCCACCCAGGTCGCGGATGAGCCCCTCCATGGGGGTGTCGCAGTGCGGCAGGGAGAAGTGCGAGGAGAGGCAGCGGTACGGGCAGGGCGCAGCGCTGGCGCCACCTGGGGTAAAGAGGGAAGAGAGGGCATGAGAGGGAGTGGGGAGGAGTGCTGAGGTGTCTCGAGGGTCCCTCTATGGGGGTGTCGCAGTGCGGCAGGGAGAAGTGCGAGGAGAGACAGCAGTACGGGCAGGGCGCGGTGCTGGCACGACCTGTAGGGGAAAGAAGCAGTGTGTCATTCGTACGACACGGGGGGGCGGGACATGGGGGGGTAAATGTCGAGAGGGAACAGAAAAGCCTCACTAGAATCAAAAGCCTGACTAGAATCACGGGCCCATCCTGGGGTCTTCCAGGGGTCTCCCAGGGACCTCCCAGGGGCCTTCCAGGGGCCTCCCAGGGGCCTCCCAGGGGCCTCCCAGGGGCCTCCCAGGGGCTTACCAGGGGCCTCCCAGGGGCCTCCCAGGGGCCTCCCAGAGGTGTCACTAGAGCATAACTCGCTTGCAGACGAACTCTGCATGGTGCGGCAGTAAATGCAGAGGGCATCTCCGGCAGAGAGAGGGGTCAGACCCTGACTCGTTCTTCAACGTGTCAGAACCAGTCACTCCTGGCAGAAGAGCCCCACCAGCCCCGGTGGGCAGGTTGGAACCACAATACCTCACTAGAGCATACCTCGCTTGTACACAAACTCTGCATGGTGCGGCAGTAGCTCCAGCGGACACTTGTGGCAGAGAGAGGGGTCAGACCCTGACTCGTTCTTGAACGTCCCCACGGGGCACTCCTGGCAGAACAGCCCCACCAGCCCCGGTGGGCAGTCCGCCGACCCTGTGAGCCCGCCCTCCCCATCCTCCCCCTCGTAGCTGCCCTGCCCTCCACTGGTTTGATTAGCAGCAGGGGAGAATCGGGAGGGGAGGGGAGAAGCAGCCGATTGAAACAGGCAGCATCACTGGGAATGGCACTTTCGGCAGACGAGACCCTCCAGCCCCAGTGGGCAGTCTGCTGATCCTGTCACTCCTGCGTCATCCTCCCCCCCCATCGTATCTGCCTTGACCGCCACTGGAATGGTCGGACACAGGGGGAGAAAGGGAAGAGGCAACGGATTAGGGAGGCAGTTACGGATTATGGATTAGTGCGGAGGACGGCCCAGAAAGTACAGGCCAACTTGTTCCTTTCCATCTGCTCCTCTCACCTGCTCCTCTCACCTGCTCCTCTCACCTGGTCCTAATAGCGTCGGTCCAATTCCCCTCGATAGTGGCACGTGGCGTGTACTCATCCCCTCTCGTCCGCTCCAGGTTCTGCCATGCAAAGTACACCTTTCCCCCGCCCCCTCCGCCCCCCCCCACCGAGTGCCCCTGGCCCCCTGACGCGGAGATGAGTGACCCCAGCGTCATGTTCAGATATGCGGCATGGATCACCACTGTTCCTCCTGCCCCTCCTCCCACTCCACCGCTTCCCACCCCTCTGCCTCCCACCCCCCCTTCGCCTCCTCCCAGCGCCCCTCTCCCCTGTCCTGACCCCCCCATGGCTCCTCCTGCCCGGCCTATAACACCTTGTGCTCTCCCTGTCGCTCCTGCCGCTACTATAGTGGGGCTGGGCGTGTTAAGGAACGAGCCGTCCGCTGCAAGAGTGCCGCCCCACAGCTCCAGTCGGGCCACGGGACCAAGGACTGGGGGAGCGGAGAGGAGAGGAATCACGGGGAGGAGCGGAGGGAAGAGTGAAGGAAACACGGCCTCCAGTCGGGCCACAAGGCCTAGGAGGACTGTACAGTGGAGGAGAGGTCGGAGGGGAGAGGAGAGGGGAGGAGAGGAGACGGGAGAAGGGGAGAGGGGAGGAAGGGAGAGGGGAGGAAGGGAGAGGGGAGGAGGGGAGAGGGGAGGAGAGGAGGGGAGAGCAGAGCAGAGGGGGGAGGAAGGAGAAAGAGAGACGAGGGTTGAAGGAAGAGGAGACAGGACAGGACAGGCCAAGGGCAAGAAGAGACTGGCGAACACACAAGTCAATCCCATAAACTCACTTATCGACAGAGCAGCAACGCCAACCTCTCTTCAATTTTGTCAGGGCTCACTCACGCATCAGCCCAACTCCACTGTTCCCCCTTCAGTTGGAATGTCAAATTTCTCAAAGGCAAAGCTCACCTATCAGCCCGCCTCCGCTGTTCCCCCTTCCCTCCGGCCCCAACCCTCCCCCACTCCCCACACTGCAGGGCGGCATCGTTCGTCCGTATGCAGCCCCTCCTGCCGCCCTTGACCCGTTGAAATGGCCTGCACCGCCCTTACCCCCGTGCCCTCCACCTCCACTCCCCCCTGCTGGTGCGTCCCTGCCATGGCCTATGCCATGGCCTGGCAAGCAACCTGGCATTCAGAGGGGGAAAGAGAAGGAGAGAGGGGGGGGCCGAGGGGAGGTTAGTTTTCAAGATGTCAAGGCAACGCATGTCTAACCTTCACCAGCCACTCTCACTACACATTCCTCCCAACCACCATAACCCCAACCACCACTGCCGCAATCACTATTGTCCCAACCACCACTGCCCCAAGCACCACTGCCCCAACCACCACACAGCCACAACCACCACTGTCCCAACCACCACTGCCTTAACCACAACTGCTGCATTTGCATTTCCAAGTGCACTTCCGTGCCACACCTCCAGCTTCCATCCCTTCCATCCCTCCTCCGCCCTCGCCGCTTCCACCATTGGCACTTACCACCTCCCGTTATCCTCCCATCCCTCCCCCACCTCCCCATTTTCCAGCCAGCCAACTTGCTTCTATCTCCCAGTTTTCAACCATCCCACTTGCAAGCAAGCTTGCAGAAATGCACTGCTCTCACAATCCCTCTACTCCGGCTGTGCTCCTCCACCTCCTCCTAGGAATCCTCAAACCTCGCCCTATTAGTCCTCTTGCTCGCCCTGGTCGTCCTCCTCCTTCTCCTAGCCCTCCTCCTAAAGGGCACCACCGTTTTATACAACGGTACAAAAAAACGGTCGTTTTATACGACCATTTTTTTGTACCAGCCGCAGAACACCACTTTCAGCCGTTTTAATTGTATTAAACGACCGTTTTATACAATCCCGTTTTAAACGGTTAACAAAAAAAAAAAAAAAAAAACGTCGTTCTTTTGCACCTTGGATACGGCGCATGCACGAGGAAGATTACGCGGGAGGTGTGCCTAACTCGTCCTAGTCGCCTCTAATAAGCCACCTAGATACAAACCTGGGACCAACTTGAAATCAGCCTGGGCCCAGCCCGCTTCTGCGAATGAGAGTCGTGCAAACGACCCTGTGTGGTGTGTGCGTCGCATGCATCAATTGCACGTCGCGCTAGTCGTTGCGACGTCGTGCGTGACTGGGATTTTGCTGCAAGAACGAAGTTTATGCAGTGGGGAGCGTCGAATTGCGTGCTATGAGTGAGTGCTCTTCGTTTTGCACCAATCATGCACGAGCATTTGTTTTCTTATGCATGCCAAATGTATTTCCGGAACAGTGCCGTTGCGGACGAAAAACAGGGAGCCACAACACTTAGTCGATTTTTGAAGCTATCTGTTTCAAGTTAGGCCTGCCTTTGCTATTTTAGCCTGGAGCTTTAAGGGAGGTGTGGGAAAGGAACATGGGTTTTGTCGGGGGGGACAGGTGGCCAAAAGGATGGCGAGGGTTGGCCAGGTGAGATTTGGGCGGGTGAAAGCTGCGCAGATGAAGTTCGGCAGGTGAGATTGGGGCAGGCGAGGTTTGAGCAAACGCCTTATGGGTGAGGAGAGAGGGTGGTTGGTTGAACGAAGAAGGTTCAATGGGTGGGTCCCATCCAGGGTGTATCTGGGGGAGGACGTTCCATCGGTGCTAAGATTGAGAAGCTCAGGCCGGTTGGGCCGCAGAGGCGCAGCAGCAGCAGTAGCACCATCGGCAGCAGGAGCAGCACTAGCGAAGCGACTCTCCACTCCCAGTGGGTGCATGCAATCCCCAACGAGCAATGACAACCCAAGAAAAGCCCCTCACGAAGGCCGGAACCGATTCTTGAGGCCACTCAAAATTTGAGGCACCTAAAAAATCACTCCTAGTGAGTGCGTACACTCTCCAACGGGCGCCTACACTCTCCAACGAGCAGTGACATCCCAAACAACGCCCCTCACCAAGGTCGGACGCTGCGATGGTCCATGGATGTGCGATGCCCCACCACAAGCATCGATGCGCACTAGCGACACGACCCCTCTCTCACCCAGTGGGTGCCTACACTCCCCACCAAGCAATGGTGTCCAGAGTGAAGCCACTCACCAAGGCCGGATGCAGCGATGGATGCGCGATGCCCCACCACAAGCGAAGAGGAAGCATCAATGCGCACCAACGACCCCTCCATGGCTCCATCCACAAACACACTGTCCAGACGACAGATCTGGCGAGGGGAGAATTTAAGGAGGTGGAAAAAGGAAGGAAGAAGGGAGGGGTTCGGGCTTGGGGCTGTGTACTAGTGACCCCTCCATGGTTCCATCCACAAACGCAACGTCCAGACGACAGATCTGTTAAGAAGGGCGGATGGAGGGAAGAAATAAGGCTCGAGGGAGAGAGTGGAAAGAGAATACGCTTCGGTTGAGAGATGGATGCGGACTAGTGACCCCAGAAAGGCCAATGATTGAGAAGCACAACCGTAGACGCACCACAATGTCTGTTCAAGAGCCTACACGAAGGGAAGAGCTAGATTCACCCTCGCTGGCACAGGCCAAGCAGGAGCAGCTCATGTGGAGGGAGAAGACGGACTCATCCTTGCTGCTGCAGTCATAGTCGGGCTGCACCACACTGGAAGGACACTCCTACACGTAGCAGTACGGGGGGGCCTCACCTCTTCTTGTCCCACACACCACACCAAGCAGCAGCAGGCGCAGCAGAAGCAAAGGGAGCAAAGGCAGCAGAGCCAGTGGGCAGTGGCTATAAAAGGAGTAGGCGAAGCTCACATGGAGGGAGAAGACGGACTCGTCCTCGCTGCTGCAGTCGTAGTTGGGCTGCACCACACTGGACGGACACTCCTCCACGTGGCAAAACGGCAGGTCTCCTGCTTGCACTGAGAACCCCCCATACACCAAAGAGCTGAAGGAATAAGACCTGCTTGTGGCCAACAGCTCGCTCGCTGCCCTGCTGCTGCCTTGCTGTGCCCGTGAAAACAACGCGGTTTTCGTCAGCTCCGACGTGCTAGAAGTCAGCTGCGGATGGTGAAAGAACACTCCTCTCCTCTCGCCCTCGGAAAGGGACTGGAGGTGAGACAGGGCGGCGTGCGAGAGAGGGGCGGCGATCCGGCTCCCGCCCAGAACCCGGACGGCGATGAACATAGAGATGAGGAGCTTCTTGGCGGCTAGCAGGCTCCTGCCGCCCAGAGCCAGCTCGTTTTGGCCGTGCAGCCACACGTGGCCAGAGCTGACTAGAGAGGAACCGCCCTGGACGAAAGAGGGAGGAAGGCAGTACGAGGGGCGTGGAGGGAAGAGGAAAAAGGGAGTGAGAGCAGGGTTATGGGTTCTCCCGCCGCTCACAGCCAGCTCGTTCTGGCCGTGCAGCCACACATGATCGGAGTTGACGAGAGAGGAACCGCCCTTTAGGAAGGGGGACGGGGGAATGGCGAAGAGGTTCAGAGGGGAGCCAGAGAAGCGTGGCTCTGGTTTGATTCTTCTCTCACGACATCAGGAAGGGGGAAGGAATAGAGGAACAGCGGGAAAGAGGGGAATTTCCCTCACATACAGACATTCTGAAATACTCCACTCAAGAGCACCCACATTCTGAGGCGCCTCAGAGGCACGTACCGAGAGGGAGAGGAAGTTTCCATCGATGCTTGAGAAGCCCATCGATAGTGAAAGCCCACTCTTACGCGGCCTCCGCCCCTTGCTGCCTCCCCTACTTATGCTGCTAGTACCGCTATTGCCACGGCTATTGCGGCTACCGCCGCTGCTAGTGCTGCCCTTATTGCTCCCACTGCTGCTACTGCCGCTGCTACTGCCACTGCTACTGCTGCTCCCAATGCTCCGGCTGTTGTTGCTCCCGCTGAGCTGGCGATTAGCCCTGGCGCCAGCAGCAGCAGCGTCAGCAGCAGCAGCGCCGGCAGACGCAGCAGCGAGCTGGTGAATGCGCAGGGACGCGGACCGCTGCAGGTTAAAGTGCGACGCAAACACCTTGATGGTCCCATACACCTCCAGAGTCGCATTCGTGAGGGTCAGATTCGCCACCACCACCTCTACCTCTGCCTCGTCTGGGTCTAACGGAGGCGCGGGGCCCGGCTGATCCCCCCCTCCCCCCCCCCGCCTCCCCCGGTGCTGCTGCCGAAGAGCACGCTGGAACCTTCCCGGAACCACACGCAGGAGCGGACCCGGAGTCGGAAGTTCCGGGTGAGAGCAACCACCTTGGCGCCGCCCTCCACTATGATGCTGTCCCAGTAGGGGTAGAGCGGCACGGTGAAGAGCGGTGTGAAGGTTTGCGAGGGCTGGTTGGAGTTGCCTATAACGAGGGTTTGCCTGGCCCAGTCGAAGACTGTTCCTGCGGAGCCTGAGTTGTGGGGGCACCCTTCACTGGCGCCCCCGGTTGCTTGGAGGGAGAGGGAGGAGGAGAGGGGCGAGGGGGGGGAGGCGGACGAGGGGGAGGATGGGGGGAGCGGGTATTGGATGGCTACTCGCCCCCCTGCACCTCCCCCGTGCCCCTTCCCCCCATTGGCGCAGATACGCCCACTGCCCTGACTGGGGGGGTGCGGTGTTGGGAAGGGGGAGGGAAGGGGTCGTCAAGAGAGGGAGGAACCATATGCCTTGCCTGTACTCTTCCTCTAATTAATACAAGGGACCAATTGAGGGAAACGAGAAGGAAGGAATGACGTCTGGTGGGCAACGCGAGGAAGGAGGGATGGAGAGAGTGAGAACGAGAGGAAGGAGGGACAGAGAGAGTGAGAACGAGAGGAAGGAGGGACGGAGAGAGTGAGAACGAGAGGAAGGAGGGACGGAGAGAGTGAGAAGGAGAGGAAGGAGGGACGGAGAGAGTGAGAAGGAGAGGAAGGAGGGACGGAGAGAGTGAGAAGGAGAGGAAGGAGGGACGGAGAGAGTGAGAAGGAGAGGAAGGAGGGACGGAGAGAGTGAGAACGAGAGGAAGGAGGGACGGAGAGAGTGAGAACGAGAGGAAGGAGGGACGGAGAGAGTGAGAACGAGAGGAAGGAGGGACGGAGAGAGTGAGAACGAGAGGAAGGAGGGACGGAGAGAGTGAGAAGGAGAGGAAGGAGGGACGGAGAGAGTGAGAACGAGAGGAAGGAGGGACGGAGAGAGTGAGAACGAGAGGAAGGAGGGACGGAGAGAGTGAGAACGAGAGGAAGGAGGGACGGAGAGAGTGAGAACGAGAGGAAGGAGGGACGGAGAGAGTGAGAAGGAGAGGAAGGAGGGACGGAGAGAGTGAGAAGGAGAGGAAGGAGGGACGGAGAGAGTGAGAAGGAGAGGAAGGAGGGACGGAGAGAGTGAGAACGGGGGGAAGGAGGGACGGAGAGAGTGAGAAGGAGAGGAAGGAGGGACGGAGAGAGTGAGAAGGAGAGGAAGGAGGGACGGAGAGAGTGAGAAGGAGAGGAAGGAGGGACGGAGAGAGTGAGAACGAGAGGAAGGAGGGACGGAGAGAGTGAGAACGAGAGGAAGGAGGGACGGAGAGAGTGAGAACGGGGGGAAGGAGGGACGGAGAGAGTGAGAACGAGAGGAAGGAGGGACGGAGAGAGTGAGAACGAGAGGAAGGAGGGACGGAGAGAGTGAGAACGAGAGGAAGGAGGGACGGAGAGAGTGAGAACGGGGGGAAGGAGGGACGGAGAGAGTGAGAACGAGAGGAAGGAGGGACGGAGAGAGTGAGAACGAGAGGAAGGAGGGACGGAGAGAGTGAGAACGAGAGGAAGGAGGGACGGAGAGAGTGAGAACGAGAGGAAGGAGGGACGGAGAGAGTGAGAACGAGAGGAAGGAGGGACGGAGAGAGTGAGAACGAGAGGAAGGAGGGACGGAGAGAGTGAGATGGAGAGGAAGGAGGGACGGAGAGAGTGAGAACGGGGGGAAGGAGGGACGGAGAGAGTGAGAACGAGAGGAAGGAGGGACGGAGAGAGTGAGAACGGGGGGAAGGAGGGACGGAGAGAGTGAGAACGAGAGGAAGGAGGGACGGAGAGAGTGAGAACGAGAGGAAGGAGGGACGGAGAGAGTGAGAACGGGGGGAAGAAGAGAAAGGGGGGTGCAAGGGAGGGAAGGGTGGGGAGGGAAGGGAGGGGAGGGAAGGGCAGAAACTCACATGGACGAGGCATTGACGAACACACTCCCCCCGGACCCTCCCCCCCCCAGCCTCCCCATGCTGCCCGCCCGCGCATCCCCCCCATCCGCGTCTATCCGCCCCTCCACCTGCACCTCCCCCGCCACCAAAATGCGCACCCGCCCTCCCCCTAACCCCCCCCCATCCGCCTCCCCCAGCGCGCCCCCCTTGCTGCCGGTTTTCCAGGGGTCAGTGAGAGTAGACCACGCGTAGGCGTCCCCCCCCCATGACTCCGCCTCTGCTCCCCATCGGTCTCCGCCCCTGCCCCTGTTCGAGCCCCTGCTCACGCCCCTGACACTGTTCCTGCCGCCCCTGCCGCCCATCATACCACTGTTCATCTCCCCCTGCCCGACACTGTTCACACTACACGACGCACCTCGCCCACCGTACCCGCCGCCCGATCCTTTCCCATCCGTCGGCGTGCCACTGGTCTGGTCCGGCGCCTTTGCTGCGAGCCCCTTGGCCGTTACTGCCGCCCCAAACGCCACAGTCAGCCGCCCGGTGTCGACCAATAGCGTGCACGCTGCCAGGCTGGCACCCTCTCGCAGCACGACAGCGGTCGCCATGTGAATGGAGAGGGAGCAGTCTGGCTGGGCGGCAGGAGTAGGTCCCTGGGCGGCAAAATATGACCTCTGTGCGGCAGGTGATGGACCCTGGATGGCAAAGCTACTGCTGCTGCTAATGGTGGTGCTGCTGCTGGAGCTGTTGCTGGTGCTGTTGCTGCTGTTGCTGCTGCTGCTGCTGCTGCTGCTGCTGCTGCTGCTGCTGTTGCTGCTGTTGCTGGTGCTGTTACTATCCCCACTGGTTCCTCCGCATGCCAGGCTGGCACCTGCAAGAATCTCCAGCGTCCCTTTTCCAGAAATCTCCGTTCCATCAGGAACCAGCACGTGGCTGCTGATCTGACACGTGGCGTCCAGAGAGCCCACCCCTCCGAGATCGTCCTCGCAGCTGATCGCCTTATTCGCGATAGTAGCCCTACTACCATCTATGCCATCAGCACTATTGGCGATATCTGTAAGATTCCTATGCGCAGCGTTTCCGGCAGCGGTCAGCGTACCAATCTCTGGCCTCCACGTGTCACTGTTGTACTCGTCCGATCGCCTCCGTAAACTACTATCGAGTGCTTCACTAGCGCGAGGAGCAGTGAGACTGCTATCGCGACGCGGACGCGTTGACTGACCAGAATCGAAGGACGAAAACGCAATAAGCAATTCAGGAACAGCCGCTCCTTGTACGCCAAACGAAGCTCCTAAAACGAGTACAGCCAGTAGCGGGAAGAGACGCACCCGCCATACACGCACGAAACGGCCCGAAGCTTCTAGACGAATTCGCGCAGAGCAGCCCAAGTAACGGCTCTCGCGGTTCACGATGGGTAACCCGCCAACGATGCAACTCGGCGTCGGCACTGCGGCGCGCCGGTCGCACGGTGCGCAGTCCATTAGAACTTTAAACTCCATCTGGGAAGTAGAGCTTCCTTGTAACGCACTCTATTGTCGAATATGCCTTTGTGAAATCCTGGCTACCTTTTCGCCTGAAAAGGTGACCCTTCCGGTATTATGGAGCCCATACTGGGAATAGACTCCCATCCTAACTTACTCTACCACCACCACTCGGATCAAGAAAGAGGCTGCGAGTGTTACCATACACGAGCGTTACATGGCTTGACGCATGGGTTCGCTTGTGAATCTATCCATTCAGGCATGGCTGGCGGAAAGGAGTGCGGGAAGGAGGATAGAGACGAGGGGTAAAAGACGAATATATGGGCCGAGTGAATCCATATGCCGGGCGAATCTACGTGCCAGGCTCAAAAGAGCACTGAACTGAAGATGATGCACTCAGGATTCACAGAAAATGTACGTGCCAAGCGTACGCGATACAGGCTCTTTCGCGGGAACAATAGATTAACTTTGAAGAGGAAGCCTACCAAGATAAGAACACTAGTCGGATGCTCCTTTGGAGCCTCAGGGTGCGTGGAAAGTAGGACGTCTGCTCCTTTCCTCTACTCCGTTTGTCCGTTCGTCCGTTCGTTCTGCCCGTCGGGAGATATTGGGCTGCTTGAAATTCGAGTACAGCCACGAGGTGATTCAAACAAGGCAAATCAACATCTTGACTTCAGTTTTTTAAACTGTTACAAAATCGTGCTGAGTTCGGCAATTCGCCAAAATGAAAACAAGGCTCGGCGTAAATCGTCGGATGGGTTGCATGTGTCCACATTTTTATCATTTTTACACAATTTGAATTCGCATCCCCCCCCACTAGTTTCTTTTCGATGGGATTGTGCACTACAAATTTTGTGAGTCAATGCTATAAAATTGATTTTGTAAGGGAGTATATTTTCAAAGTTTAACAATACAAGCTACTGTTAACTTATACATATGTTCTATGTAGAAATTATAGGCTAGACTAAGTATGTGCTTTTAGTGAGTACAACCCAACAGGTATATGCTCTAGGTTTTTCCTTCTAGTAATCATTCACGTATTCTAACATGGTATCGAGTAGGTTAGGTCCCCCCGCCCGCTTCCGCCCGCGCCCTAGTCTCTCGCACACCCTTAGCTGGCCCCCTGGCCGTCGCGTCCACCCCTAGTCGGTCCCCTGGCCATCGCGTCCGCCCTTAGCCGGCCCCCTGGCCGTCGCGTCCGCCCCTAGTCGGCCCCCTGGCCGTCGCGTTCGCCCCTAGCTGGCCCCCTGGCCGTCGCGTCCGCCCCTAGTCGGCCCCCTGGCCGTCGCGTCCGCCCCTAGCCGGCCCCCTGGTCGTCGCGTTCGCCCCTAGTCGGCCCCTTGACCGTCGCGTCCGCCCCTACTCGGCCCCCTGGCCGTCGCGTCCGCCCCTAGCCGGCCCCCTGGCCGTCGCGTTCGCCCCTAGCTGGCCCCCTGGCCGTCGCGTCCGCCCTTAGTCGGCCCCCTGGCCGTCGCATTCGCCCCTAGCTGGCCCCCTGGCCGTCGCGTCCGCCCCTAGTCGGCCCCCTGGCCGTCGCGTCCGCCCCTAGCCGGCCCCCTGGCCGTCGCGTTCGCCCCTAGTCGGCCCCTTAACCGTCGCGTCCGCCCCTAGTCGGCCCCCTGGCCGTCGCGTCCGCCCCTAGTCGGCCCCCTGGCCGTCGCGTCCGCCCTCAGCTGGCCCCCTGGCCGTCGCGTCCGCCCCTAGCCGGCCCCCTGGCCGTCGTGTCCGCCCCTAGCTGGCCCCCTGGCCGTCGCGTATGCCCTCAGCGGGCCCCCTGGCCGTTCGCGCCCGCTCCTAGCCGGCCCCCTGGCCGTCGCGCCCGCCCCTAGCTGGCCCCACTGGCCGTCGCGCCCGCTCCCAGCTGGCCCCCTGGCCGTCGCGTCCGCCCTCAGCTGGCCCCCTGGCCGCTCGCGCCCCCTCCTAGCCGGCCCTCTGGCCGTTCGCGCCCGCCCCTAGCTGGCCCCACTGGCCGTCGCGCCCGCTCCTGGCCGGCCCACTGACCGTCGAGCCCGCTCCTAGCCGGCCCCAACAGCACCTGTCTGGCCTCTTCCTAGCGCCGCCCGGCCTCTCCTACCGCCCGCCAGTCCCATTGCGCCCGCCCGGCCCCTCCTAGCACCAGCCCGGCCTTGTCACGCCTGCCCGGTTTTCAGCGCCAGCCCGGCCCCTCCTCCTACCCGCCTGGCCCCTGCTCGTGCCTGCTCGGCCTGCCGTGCCACCTCGGGCCCCGTGTCCTCTGCTAGCCCGCGCCGGGGCACCCCGCAGCCGCCCTACTGGAGAGTGCTGCCGCCGTGTCCCCGTGCCGCTGTGCTCCTGCCGAGCTGTGGAGCTGTGTCACTGACCCTGCACGATGGCTGACTTCGTGCTCCGCCTGGACGCTGAGGGCCACGCGGTTGACTTCGTCGCCTGGCTCTCCGATCTCCGCCGTCAGCTTACAGGTCAGCGCCAGGATGGACACTCGCTGGTTGTCCATGCTGATGGCTTGCTCCCCCGCCCCCCTGCACCTGCTGCCCTCCCTGCTGACCCCACCTCCGCTGAGAGTGAGGCTTTCTCTACTGCTGTGCTTGCCTGTGCGGTCTGGGACTCACGCGATGTAGTAGCTCAGGTTGCTATCAGACACGCCCTCCCTGTGTCTGAGCGCTCGCGTTTCGCTACAGTTGATACGGCCAAAGCTCATTTAGACGTTGTTATTGCTCGCTATTCCACACCTGCATCCGCTTCTGCCGACCGCCTGCTCTTCCCGATGCTGTTCCCAGACCTTGCTGCCTTCCCTACTGTCGCAGACTTTGCAACTCACTTGCGTGCCCTAGAGACTCGCTATCGCACTGCCAGCACTGCTGCCCAGCTCACTGCGCTCCCCCCCCCATTCTGCATGACCCTCTATTTTATCGCCATGCGCCTGCCGGACCGCCTAGCTAGTCCCCGCGACCGCTTCCTTAGCCAGCACCCGGGTGACCTCACATTGACCGCCTTTGTCGACACCCTCACCGAGATCGAGACGCGTCAGCGCACTATCGTTCAGTCGAGCGGTGCGCCGGCAGTCTCTATCTTTCACGGCTGTGCCCCCTCCCAGTGCACGTTTACTGGCGTTTCGGTTGCGGTCGCCACTACGGCCCCTCTTACCGAGACGGCAGCTGCGGTCCACCCGCAGCAGCGTCCGCGCCGCGGTGGCCGTGGCCGCCAGGGAGGTCGTGGTGGTGGTGATGGTAGTCCACCTGAGGGGACTACCACCGGTGGGCAGGAGCAGACGCAGTCGCCTTCGCAGCCGGAGCAGCCCCAGCAGCAGCCGCCGCCGTCCCAACAGCAGCCGTCGTAGCCGTGGGCTCGTCTCCCACCTGGTTGGCCCGGCACCTCCGGCGGTGGTGGCCGAGGTGGTGGCCCGCGCAGCTTGGCATCTACTGGCAGCTCCAGTGCTGTGACCTGCCAGTGCCAGCTTTAGACCGGGCCTCTCCGCGGCACTCTATGCCGCCGCCCGCACCCGACCGCCCGCTGTTACCGCCGCCTCGTCGATCTCTTTCGTCGTCGCTTTGGCCCGGCCCCGGACCTCCCCGACTGGCACAGCCTGCTTCGCCAAGGCATGCCGATCTTTGAGTTAGATATGGATCAGATAGGTGCTGCTTTGCATGCTTTGTATGCTGACGCTTCTAGTGTTGCTGGATCTTATTACCCTGTGTACTCTAGTTTAGGTGTCTCACCCTTGTGTAGCTTAGCCTCCCCTGCTGTGTCAGGCGTAGGACTGCCTAGTTTGCCTAGCCTAGGTTCTGCACCGGCTCCGTTCCCAGCCTCCGCCACTGCCTCGCTGTCCTTCACTCTCGACTCCAGTGCTTCTGCCTGTTTCTTCCGCGACCGCTCCACGCTTACACCGCTTGCTGCGCCTGCTGTTGTCTCTCTCGCTGACCCCTCTGCGGGTCCCGTCGTCGCTCGCAGTTCCACATCCCTTCCCTGTCCAGCAGTTCCCTCGGGCTCTCTTACAGGCCTCCACGTTCCCTCGTTCTCGAGGAACCTGGTTGGTGTCGGCTGTCTTCAGGACCTCGGCGTCACCACTACGTTCCCCGGGCACGAGCGGTTCGCTGTCTGTTTTGAGGCTGTCTCAGGTTCCCCACTTGCTATGTTCCCCCGGGACCCAGTGTCCGGACTGTTCACCCTAGACTCCGCTTCCCCCCCGGTTGGTGCGTCCTCCCAGGTCGCTGCAGCTTGCTCGTGTCGGTCTCTCACTCACCCGTCCCTTTTGTGGCACCACCGCCTAGGTCACCCTGCACTCCCGCGTCTGCGTCACATGTCCCAGCACGGTCTTGTCTTAGGCCTCCCCGCATCGCTCCCCGCCCTTCCCCTCTCGCCTGCTCTACCGTGCACACCCTGCGTCGAGGGCCGGCTCCGCCGTGCCCCTCACTCCTCCTCGCTTTGCCCTACTACTGCTCCCCTTCAGACCCTGCACTTGGACGTTTGGGGCCCAGCCCCCGTCCCCGGACCGCGTGGCGATCACTACTTTCTTGTGCTTGTCGACGACTACACGCGCTACATCATGGTGTTTCCCTTGGAGCAGAAGGCAGATGTGCCCGACGTTCTTCTCCCGTGGGTTGTGGCTGCGCGTCTTCACCGCGGTCTCCCCGTGTTGTGTCTCCACTCTGACCGTGGCGGAGAGTTCGCTTCTGGTCGGCTTGGACAGTTCTGTCGTGCGGAGGGCATCATCCAGTCGTACACCTTGCCGGACTCGCCACAGCAGAATGGGGTTGCTGAGCGCCGCATCAGCTTGGTCATGGAGGTGGCTCGTACCTCCATGATCCATCCCGGTGCACCCCATTTTCTGTGGCCGTTCGCCGTTCGCTACGCCGCTCACTAGCTTAACCTGTGGCCACGCTCCCAGTGGCCGCAGGTTTCGCCGACCCTCATTTGGACCGTTTCCCCTGGTGACGCGTCTGCATTCCATGTCTGGGGCTGCCTTGCTCACGTTCGTGCCTCTGGCACGGACAAGCTCACTGCCTGCACTGTCCCGTGTGTCTTCCTTGGTTTCCCCCTGGACTCGTCTGACTGGCTCTTCTACCACCCGCAGTCTCACCGCTTCCTCCACTCTCGTGACGTCACCTTTGATGAGTCCGTCTCCTTCTACCGTCGCTTCCCTCACCGAGGTCTCCCGGTTTCCCCCCCCCCCTGTTCCTTGCCCCCTCTCCCCCGGTAGCCCCTCCTCCCCTCCCGCTGCGTCCTGCCCCGTCTGGTGTCTCCCATGTCACTCCCCTCCCGTCAGTTGTCCAGGTTGAGGAGTCTGCTGACTCTGGTGGTCCCCCCGCCCCGCCTTTGCCGCGTCCCCCTTCCCTGGTGTCTCCGCCCCCGTTGTCACAGCCG